CTAAATCGGAGATACACACTCTCTCTCTCTCTCTTTAGATTCCACTACAACAACACAATATTTTCATTTGATCGACGAAACAAAATGATGTCTGAAATAGGCTAACATTATAGTTAGTGATACTTTGAATATTAATTTCATTGACTATGATTCTTGTGATCAAGATATGTTACATGTAATCAGTCAAATTTATCATAACACGTCAAAATATATTGCTTTAATAATACATATCACTTTATATTGACAATCTATTGTAGCAAGATATTTTTGGGATAATATCTAGTAGATGACAGTATAAAGTATTGTGTATTGTTAAAAAAATGTATTTTGACGTATTATGTTTGACTATTTTGGACACCATTTAGTTTAGTATATCACGTAGAAAGTGTGATGTTGTTGTAGTAGAAACAAAAGAGAGAGAGAGAGATGGTGTTTACGATTTATGTTTCGTATAATTTGTATTTTCTTTGTTTTGATTATTAATAAAGAATTTTGTAGAGATTTTATGTTGATGATGCGTCATTCTATGAAAGATAAGTTAATTTTCTGATTTGAATTATTTGGAATTTAAAGATTCTTGTTGAGTTATTGAAGTAAGTGGAATAACGTGAATGAAAAAATGATTTTTATTGTTCCTCTAGTTCTTCTTTTATTTTATAGAATAATGTTTTCCTCCAACTTTGTTTATGCTTTCAATTTTTATTAGTGAAATAAGTTGAATCACTTTTTAAAACTTTTCAACCCAAATGTAAACATTTAGAGTAGTGTTCAATTCCACCAATTTTTATTCCACTCAAATGGTAAATATCTACAGGATTATTTAATACCATCCATTTTTATTCCTCTAAATGAACAACCATTTGCACTCAAACGTAGAAAGAATAATTTCGAAAAAACTTATAATTTTTCAGAAAATATTTTCACATATATACAAAAAGTAACTTTGAGTTACCATTTTGTTTAGACAAAAATCCGTTGAATAAGAAACCATTTACGAAATTAAGCAATTTTTTATATAACTATAAACCCGTTCACGGTGGTAATTAAGGTAAGTGTGCATGTTTGTTTAGGGATGCAGCATCATCCCGCAATGAAAAACTCATACCATTGTATTAGTTTGTAATACATAATGTATAGAACAAATATTTATAGTTACTCTATATCATATAATCAAACATATCTCAATTAGTAAAGATGGTAAAGTTGTGAACATATATTGATTAATTACAAGTTACCTTGTGGGATAACAATGTCAATGCAGAGCTTAGCCAATAGAAGTTTAAAAAGGACTCTTTGTTGAAGACTACTTTGATGGTTCAGTTTTTTTCATATGAGGATCCGTCCAAACCAATTGATAGGGACCTTCTGTTTGGCCATGGTCTCTCTTCTAATACCCTAACATTGTCGAAACTACATATATATGAAAAACAAAAGTTAACCACCAAAATATGTAACTAATGATGGTTCATTAACATGACAAGTTAATATCCAATTGGAACCAAACCAATTCAAGCAACCAGTAAAAGAACGAATAAATCAACGCAAGTACCAATAACTTGTGTTTTTTTTCAATCATTTCCTCATCAAACCGTTGTTATAACTTTCCGTAAAATCGTAACTATATGAAACTATTGTGTAGATAACTTCACCCATCAACCACGTACATAAAACCAATGGAAGATATGTTTATATCTTTGTTGACAAAATCGACCCAAACACATATCTACACTAAATTTTTTAACAAAATCTAATATCACAAATTCATTAAAAAACAAAAAAAAGGCACATCAAGATTCTATCAATCACCTTGGGGCATTGAAGAAAAATGCTTATGGCCACAGTTCTTTCTCGCCGGAGAATTCAGCCACCTAAAACTTTGAGGGTGATTATATGTTGAGTTAGTGACAATGGGGATAAGAGATTTTTGTGGTTATTATGTTTGTGACAATAAGGATAAGATTATATATACAATGAGTTGGAGGCATATCATTAACCCTAATTTATACTCTTATATGGATAAGATAAATAAATATACCCTAATTAGGCCACGTAGTCATGTAATCCTGATTAAGAAAATGACCACAACCACTCAATTTTTATCACATGTTCACAGAGTACATAGAATATAAGACAAAACCCTATATAACTAATTAACATTTTTTTATCAAAAATATTATAAAAAAAAACAAGAGATAATTCACTAATTTTTATACTTGCATTATTTTTTCGAATTATATCTTAGTAAATAAAAATTTAAAAACTTTATTTTCGAAAAATCAAAATATATATAACAAAATTTAAATACATTAATAACATGAACGACATATATCAGATAGTGTAATAGTACAGTGACCGTACTATCTAAGATAAGAGTAAGAACCAAAGCAGCAAATGGTCTCACATGTTCGAGCTATTCGAAATTTCGAACCAATACAAAGTTCAGTCCAATCATCTTCGAAATAGTGCTTTAATATGTATCACACTTTTGTACCATCAAATTCACTCTTTATGCAATAAATACAGAATTTTATGTTGAAGAGAAAAAGTATACTTTTAACATTAGCGAGAAAGATATTTATATTTTCAGGCAAAACAAAAAGAAATTTAGACCCTATGTCCCAAGCTTTTCATTATTTCTAGTAGAGATTTCGTAAGCATACACATTTCACTTAACTAGATTTGCACACAACTAAAACACAACACCCCTTAGTTTGCTACTGCTCAGCAATCTCTAGTCTAACAGATTCATAAGATCACAACTTGATCTTATAATGAACCAGGAATCATGCAAGCTCTATGTTCCTATGCTCTCAAACCTTAAAAAGTAGACTCCTCTTTTTTCTCAATATGCGGCACACATAACCTTATAGATATTGACCTCGATTTAAACATCTATGACTCTCCCACAAACCTATATATATATATAAATCACTTCAAGACTAATGATGAGCTCATGTTCCCTTAATGTTCCATGTCATGTTCTAATTGCAGTTGCTTCTCCTCCTTATATATGCTGACGACTTTTCACATGTCTTTACACTTTCACAAAGTAAGTTAACACATTAATCACTTGTCGTGTGTAGGACCTGTAGGTTTATGTAAACCGAATTCAATCTGATGCATGTTTTTGTGGTCACTAAAATACATTACATAAATAAAACGTTTATAAGTTATGGAAATTTCTTTAGCTTTCAACCTAAACGCTGATAACAAAAGTAATAATATAGCTTTTGGCTGACGAAAAATTACACTTCATTCAACTTTAATTTTTGCATGATATTTTCTATGGAAATTATAATGCAACAATTTCCGAATAAACTAGGTCTCTTTTAAATACGACATTAGATTTCGTCTAGGAATCGATCATTGGACCCAGAAACAAACTCAAGCCAAGTAGTCACGTAAAAGCTCATTACATATGATAAGTATAATTAATAAATAACTAAGTGATCACTCAATCAGAAGGGTCCATAGCTCAGTGGTAGAGCATTCGACTGCAGATCGAGAGGTCACCGGTTCGAACCCGGTTGGGCCCTTTATTATCTTTTTGCTTTGTATTTAAGTTACGAACCCTTTGATTCACCTAGCGTCTCTGCTTTCTCTTTTTTCTTTTTCTCTTTCGGTGAATGTATTTGGCTACATTAAATGTGAAAGGTCCACTCACAAACACAAAACTATGAACGTTTTGAACGTCAAAAAAAAAAACTATGAACGTTTTGATGGGCCCTTGGATCACTTGATTAGACCCCAAACCATAATACCAAAGAAGCTTCGATGATGATTGATTCTTTTTTCTTTTAATTATTTGAACAAATGATGATTGATTCATAAACAATAAATAAAGAGAATCGATTTGAGAGATTTTCTTGTTCAATTAAGTTTTTTTGTATTCTATTCAATTATAATAAGGTCACGGGATAATGTGATAATGTTCTGATATTTTCTTCCCTGCCAGCCAAACAGTTCTAAAACCCAACTTGCAAAAACAAAACATTAACAATAATATCCTTAGTTTTAGTAGCTTGTTATTACACGGAATCAAACACATTATTGGTGCAACCCCACGGGTCATATTAAGTATTTGTCCTGTCTTTGTGTAGTCATTTTGTTCATCGTCGACATCATATAAGTTTGAATCCGACTCATGACACAATGACAAACACTAACATAAACCAGTGGGTTATATCTCTTAGTTGTCTTTATCTAGTAATGTATACATATATTTATAGTATGAAGACAAGATTTTGTTCATATAATAGTTTATAGTTGGCATATATAGATTAACGGAACTATACATAATAATGATGAAAATATCCTCACTCGAATTATTCAGAAGATTTTGAGTTCAATCTTTTTCGATATCCATGCATTCTTGCCAATGGATATATTGTGCAATATATTGTGCAAACCACCAATGGTTTTATGATTATATCCACGATTATGTATAGCAATGCCGTAAGAATATTAAAAAGGTATTCATTTTTGTGGTGGTGTTAGGTTATAAATAAAATGAATTCAGATGTTTTTCAACTTTCGCAATTTATCTCCCAAAAAGCTTACGTAATGTATTCAAAAGAAACACGGGAATGTATATAG